CTGAGGAGTAATGTCTTAGTGTTAACAAATATATTGAAATTCACAGTCATTCTGTTCAACGTTTATTACGATTGATTTGAAGCTACATTAAAGTGATCGATGATTTGTCTGAGTATTATGTGAATTTGATCAATGATGAGAACTTGTAGAAACATATTCTCCATAGAGAGCATCGTACCTTTGAGGCTTCAGGTGAATACGATCATTCTGAACAGTATCCACTTGAGTGAAACGCGAATCTTTGTAGACTCGCCTCGCCTGCACAAAGGCTTCAAAAATTCGTGTTTCTTACCCCTAAGGTTTGTTCTAATGCCAGTAGTGTTAAACATCATCCGAAATCCGCTTCCTAAGAACGAAGGTAGGTTATGGACGCCGTGATGCTCAGGGTTACTAGTGATAGATTTTAATGTGCTTTTTGAAGTTTGTGACAAAGCAATAAAAAAGCAATGATTTTGAAAATCAATCTCATGTATCAATATGGCAAGAAGCGATCGCAATGTGCGCAATAGATTCAAACCATTGCGGCTCTTATGATGAGGTGAAAAGAACTTGGTCGTAAATTCGCTTCTGAAATCTTTACACTTAGGCAAAGAATATGTTGATCGAGTTTTGAAGCACGTCATCAAAAATCTCCCTTCAATTGACCCTCCTAGAAAACAAAGTGAGAGAAACGGGTATATCCTTGTGTTTGGACAGCCGTACAGATTCTGAATTCGTAGAGTAATTTGCCTAAGTCAGGTCAGAAAGGATCGGCTTGAGACATCGTATGAAATAATGCGTTATCCCATTGCATTCATCTGTCCGGTTCACATGGGCTTTGAAAATTTTATTGAGTGCAGGCTAGCCAGACCCTCATAATTTCAAGTTTGCACCATACTTGGCCGGAAGAATAGTAGCACTAATTTGAATTATCGATAGACTATCGGAGTCACTGTTATAAGCCAATGTGGATTCCTTAACCTCCAAGGTACTACGAAATGACTTATATGCACAGAGCATCCTTGCGACATTGGTTAACATCGAACGATTCACATTTTTAACTTGCCACTTGGAATATATATCACGTATCTGTCTCCTTTGAAGTTTCATATATATTGATAATCAGAATTTATTATTTGAGATCAGCATCGTCTTTTCGCAAAACAACTTAGATACCTAATTATGAACAAAGAGAATAAGATGAATATCATCTATTCTTGTCGCAGCCTTAACCGGAGAAGGCCAGTGAACATCAAAGTGAGTGTGAAATCGACGTAGCTCATTTTTTTAACGTGCACACGTCAATTTTTATGCTCTGTTTTTTGAGCGCCATCAAGGACCTATCTTCACAAGATCCACCCGCAATTGTTCTCAGAGGATGATCTTGCTGCTGACTTTCCGAATATTCTAAGTCCAACAATCAACAATGAATTTATTCTAATATTGTGAAGTAAACGTAAAGTGAATGTTATTTGTTGTTCCACTCGCAAAGTTCTGTCTCCGGATCGCAAGCGGTGGCTTTTGGACAACTGGAGCATGCTATTTCCTGCTCATAAACTTGCTGGCCCACAACCGGTCCTCTGAAATTGCTCATGAATTTCTTCGTGTGATAATTTACATTGGATATCCGTAATTTACCCGGGTCCATAAACGCAAATGACGAGACGTGAGATGTTGCACGTACTCAATGTACATCCCAGCCAGCTGTTGTTGTGCCATGCCATCTAAAGTGATTACTGTATATAGCTTGGAGAAGGCGTCATTATCAATCTGTTGGTGAACAAGTGAACGTACTTGGACGGCATATCTAGAGTCATTAGAGTGAAATGTCATGTTATTGATTATTGTGCTGTTACCCATCACCACCATCCACAAATTCGCAGCCTAATTTGATAGCTCACTTACAATTAGCAGTCATCGCTGAACAGTGCGAAAAAAGAAAAAGCGTAAAATGATCAGACTAACAACATTTTCCTTTCACTGTGGGGAGTACCCAAAGTGACTAAATAATCATTAGTACCGTACTGCGTGGAATTTACTTTATCAAATTGATCTAGACAGAAAGCACATCTCACGTGTTTCGCGATCTCAGCGTCGGACATATTGAGATTTGGAATCATAGCAAAATTCAGCACTGTATCAGAATTTTGGCCGGTCAAATTTGTTAGGCAATTGCTAGCCAGCTTGACTGCTTCTTCTTCATATGTGCAGTTGTATCGCTAAAATAGTTATAACTGAATGATTGAAATGAGGTGCATCATGGTCACACCACCACTTTCTCCATATTCGTTGCTGACGGAGTCCCGAACGGTTTGTAAGGAAAGTTCCCTTTTCCAAGCGCTGACCTACAAAGTCATCTCACCATGATTGACAAAGTTGCGGGGAAAATCAGCGTTTTTGAGCGAATGCAGTGATAACCATATACCTGTATGAATTGTGGGCATCCAAGAAGACATTTCTTGTGAAGTTTTCCATTGAGCTGCTACAAATATTCTTATATTTCAACGGGGCTTGGTTTTTTCCGGCTGTGGTGCAAATGGTATACGATTGAGAACAACATTAATTTTGTTTTGGACACTTGTTTTCAACTTACCTCCTTCGTCTAGACCGACGGCGAAAACCTTAATATTCACTTACACCTGACTACTGTTTTCATAAACTTTACTTAAGTTTTAAACCACAACAAATAGCTGAGAGCACTGTATCAAATCCAAAATCGGTTTTGCATGTCAGACTATTTTTATATTCTAAAATTTTCTACTCAGAAGCCGAAACCGTCTGCATTTTACTAGGAGCTAGAATCTGCTTTATTATGAATATCAGCAAAAACGGGTTGCTCTATTGGCAAAGCTCTAGTAACTGACCAATACGATGAAGGTCCAGCGGATCATGGTCGGTTAGACTGAAGTGTGCGATAGCAAAAGGTTCGTTACTCATCCATTTATACGAATATCCCATACGTTTTTCAATCCACCATTCTCTCGAAAACAATAGTTCCATGATAATATTAGACGAAATTAAAACAGGCGAGTGCTTTGTTTAAACTTGTTTCTATTCATAGCCAGGCCAATATTAATTTTATTTGTACAACGAATAGTTTTACTTTGCAAAATATAACTGTATATGAACTACAAGTGTCATCTGGTATCACAATCACAGTCTTCATTCCTGCATTCAACTCCCTAAACAGTCTTTAATGCATTACCCTTGGAACAATAGTCCAGCGGTATACGCAATATTGAAATATGCAAGAACTTCCTTCGAATTTTTTTCTATTCACCACCTGACTAAAATTGAATTTATTCGAACAATTAACCTTATTGTCATGCAAATATTGTTTGTATTAGAATGAAATGCGTCATTTATTATCATCAGAACTGCGTTGACGTAGTCACCTAGCTAGGGCCGACGCTAGTGTATCAGTTCATATCTCCTACGGACCGGAGCTATTTTGTACCAGGTACGCGGCATACGTCAGTTGAAGGTTAGCAATGAAATTCTACAAGCCAGATTATCTGGGATATAGTGAGCCGCATACGTAATACGTTTAATCGTCAACCGATGCACAAAAGCCGTTACAGAGTGGATTCATTGAGATTACAAACGCAGAGCGGGAAGATCACCGACCGAACTGTGTCATCACTTCATGAAAAGACTACAAGGAGGTTGTAATGCATAACGAATCTCTAACTAGAGGAGAGCCCATTGGGCCACACTTGCATGCAATGGGTAAAATGACTCTAATTGGTACCCGTTCAAGTTACTCGACGGTCAACAAGCAAAAGGATTGTATGTGTAATATCAGCCATTTTCCTAGAGCTAGATATCCAAGTTTCTTCCATATTTTTATGCTTGGTGTTTACATTCAGAGAAATCCTTCAATATTGTCGTCGATCGTTGAAAAATCACAGTCTGCAATTAAGTAAAATTATGTATAAATTCTTTGATGTCAAAGTGAACACCACAAAGTAGACAAGAGGACTTATTTGGCTGATGCTCGATCTCTTCCTCTTATTCTGAGCCGATGAGGCGGTCAACTGTTCACACTTGTTCGTTTTCGTTGTGGTCTTTTCTTTACATATTTAATTAATCATGAGAGTTTTCTATCATTTTCGTGGTAGGTTTTGTCACCAAGAAATTATTAATAATTGATCATGCCGACCCTGAATGGATTCGATTTTGAAAAACGATTTTGGTGCCATACACAGCAGCCACGTCAAATTGAGAGGCGGCCATGACGAGTCAACAATTTATATCAGTTGGAGATTTACTTTATTGGATTTATCAGCTGAGTCAATCAACATATCCATCCGATATTGCACTCCAAGCTGAGCAAACCCTTCTTTCATTGGCATGTCGACACTGTGGTAACAAAGTTGTCTTGGAGCATAGCATCATTGGCCTAATTCATTGGTAAGCCACCGAAAGTCATTTTATATGTGGAAAAAAAACCTCACAATAATTTCCACGACTTCCTTGAATTGACTCCAGTGCTTCCTTCAGAAAGTAATCAGCGCCAACAGCTTGACATTTTCGTTCCTTAGATGCTTCAATACCACAGATGATATTACCAATCCAACACCCTTCTCAACAAGTGATACTCATAGGTGTCATACTCCCGACGGTGGTTTATTTTGAGGCACAGGTATTTTTTTTTCTTGAAACTTTTGTTATCAACCAGTAAGTTATCCCGCGTAGGTACTGTGGTTAGTGTTGTGCACGGGAAGATGCCTTGCTTATAATATCTCATCTGATCAATCACTTTTGAGAGACTACTTGAATCGGACGATGTGTGAGACTCAAAGAGTGTGCTTAGCAGAGAAGTGAAGAAGTGCTTGTTCCTCCATCTTCTGGAATCACATGTAGTGCGTAACGTCATTTTTGACAAACACCTTGCTGTTTACATGTACTCCAACTGCAAAATTCCTTCTTGGTAGTCGACAGGGTGAGGGGAGATGAAACCTAGAAGGTAGATGTAATGTAGCTACACAACTTGTATAATAGATAGCGACCAAGAATACGACCTCAGGCGGGAGTTGAACCCGCGTTTCATCCATAGCGCGGATGCGTGCTACCAATTAACCACCGAGGCATATCTGCGCCCACTCATTCTTCTCCATCTCTAATAATAGCTATCAGACATCAACCTTCAACAAGTTTGGTCGGGTGCCTCGGTGGCATAGTGGTTGCACGAGCCCAAGTATGGATGAAATGCGAGTGCGACTCCCGCTGATTTAGTATTTTTGGCCACCATTCAGTTCTCTTTGATGTATTGAAAACATCGCACCACTTCGGAAAAATGCAGTCAAAGCATAAGAAATTATAAGTATTGGAATAGATAGCATATGATTGAGCTGTGGGAAATTTTTTTCTGTACACACAAAAGTTCGGCATGCACCAAGGAAATGGGAGGATGTATAGAGGCATAAGGAGCACGCGTAGGATTAGAGAAGCGCGCAATTCTATTATTTCCAAAACGCGGAAAAAAACGAAAATCGATTCAAGGGGCGAAATCACAATAATGAAGGAAATATGGCTGCACCATGTCTTGGCGGTCAGGTATATCTCAAACGATTCAAGAATGTATTTTATTTTCAGTACGGCTTTGCTATTGTGCCATGATAACAGAAAACAATTATCTTTCTCACTGAAACGTTTTCCGCTGAACAACGTTTTTCCTTCGAACTTATCATTCGCTAGCTTAAGTCTCGCGTATTCCCATAATTTATTTGGTTTTTGAAAAGGACTTCATGGTTATCATTAATCAGTAGAAACGCAGTGCACCAAATTCATACGATAATCATTAACGGTTTTTTTTTTTTGAAAAAAGGCGAAGAGCTTGATAGGCTTCGAAAATGGTTATGAAGGGTCATAATCGGAGGGCCGAGTGTACCAAAATAAGCATTCGTTGCGTCGAATATGGACACTACGATTCTATGCAGTCACGAATATGTGAAACATTTAACTATCATGTTTCATCTGTCTGAGTTATAAAGTATTCGACTGAGTAGACTGAGTGAAAATATAACTCTTTCAGACTTTGAAGAAGGCGAAATCGCCGAAAGACACGCAGCGTTGTGCTCGTTGGTAACGGCTTACATCATGTAACATTTCTTCTCCAAAGTCGGCTAATATTTATAATCGAGACGATGTATTTTCATGGATCGACACTCGCTTGCCATAAATATAGCAGTATCAAGCAGCATGAAAAGTCGTTCAGATTACTAATATAAAATTCTTATAAAAAGGTTCGTCGGTGGAATTCACGGGCACATATTTATTATATTGTGATCGATATAATTACTGAATGTTCTTTATGAGAAATCGATTTGGGCTGAAGTCCTCAATATCCTATTAATTCTGAATGGCTTTGTCTGCATTCTGAAATAAAATTCGATAGGTGTGCTTTGAATACTAAATGTAAAATATTCACCGTGAGTTTGATTACGTTGTTTAACTGCTGGCAAAGAATTCTTCCGAAGATCATATAGTCGTGCGACGCAAGATGCTAAAATTCACACATTCAAATGAGTTTCAAGAAAATCGTAAGGTTTCCTTATTGTAAAACATTTTATAACACAACCTTGGCAGCACACAGCGCGGCCTCCTCAGCGCCAAAGACAGTGGAGCAACCGATCCCGGAAGGCATACGAACGGAAGACCACATATCAAGCATCATGTTACTCTCAGTGACAGGAGGGCAATTGATCACCTACTCACATAAGTGCTTCCAATGAAATTTTATAGAGTACTGCATATTGAAAGAAAAACTTACTGGTAACGTAGAGTTGCCGGAAAGCACTGGTCCTAAACCGTTGGAACGTCCTGCAACAGCAATGACGACCGTTGGAATCTCATCATTCTCATATTCGCTCAGAATTTCCAGGGCTTCGTGGGTCGTCTAAATACTCCATCAATTTCGTTTCGATGTGTGATTATGTTCGGCTGATTTTCGCCTTTAACTAGCAACCTTATGTGCTGAGCTGATGCGAAGAATTGGCGTTATTCCGAGCAGTTTACAACTAGCAGAAATTCTTTCGCAATGTTCACGATCGGACGGCGATCCCATGACAATCACAGCACGGCAAAGAGAAGTTGAACAGAACTCGGCTGTTAATTCCACTACCTTAAAATGTGTTTTTATTTGCTTTTGCAATAAATAATGAGATATTACAAGTGACTTTCTCTTATTCAAACTGCAAATATTCCCTTGTTTTGAAATTCGGAATTCCAGACACCTAGGCTTCACGCCGAACAAGATCTTGTATGACACACTCGCTATTAGTGTATGACTTAAACCTATATCAACTAATATTGAGTACTGATGAGTGAATGCAAATGAGTCAGTCCCAATAGGGCAAAACAAGCGCCTATATACCACTAGATCTAACAGCTCAAAACATGGTATGTCCTTACCAGATTATATCATTTTGAGAGGGTCTATAAAAAGCTGTCGATAAAGGAGAAATGATTCTATAACATACTGATGCGACAAGTTGACGATAGAGCCTCTTTGTACCAACAAAAAAGCACGAAAATCTGTGTTAATTTTTTGGTTAGCATTAATTACAGTCCTCATGTTAACGCTCATTGTTTATCCACCTACTACCTATAACATCTACGAAGTACTCAGACTAGGGCACCACTTCGAGGAATGACGGACGTCACATCAAGGACATGTAGTGAAGGAGGAAGCACATTGATCTGAGGTTGATGATGCATTAGAAACTCTTCGTAAAAAATGTAAACACAAGCCAGCACTTACCTTTTCATAGTTGGAAATAAGCTCTTGAAGGGCTTCCGGAGTAACCTCTTTCATATCCCTAAAATATGCTTTAAACGCTCTGCTTCCGGATAGACTAACCTTCCGTATAAATTTATGATCAAGTGCAAGTTTGAAGTTGGTAAAATATTTGGGTAAGTGCACAGGACTCTCGTTTTGTATCAGACGGTGTGATGTTTTGACCTACACTCGAGAAGCAAAGCTTTGTTTGACATAGCACTCAATGGACAAGATTTTCTAGTAACATATTGAAATAGAACCTGTCTTAGAACACATTGAATTCGTGCAATGATTTTGCGCAACATTTGGTATATAAATAGACAAAAGAGCGGTGAAATTTAGCTATGTCAAATTGGTTGAACTATAAGAGTGCAGCGATGGAAAAAATACTGGGGTCCGACCAGTGATATAGTGGTCACAATTTGTATGCCGCTATGCCGTAATATATGCCAAAACTATTCACTGCCACCCTACAAAACGTCATGCGAACATTAGAATGGGACGATATGGGAGTGGAAATTGACGGTCGACAAACGAAATTCTTTTTATTTATCCGCTTCTAGCGGTGTTATCATGTTACAACTAGATACCCATTGATGTAGAGCGATATGCAAAACTTTCGCGTCAGGCGGGACTAACACCCGCACCTCACTCTTTCCGGGAATGCGTGCTCTATCCCTTACGCTACTGACGCCCATTTTACACATCGCTCTTTTCACGCTACAGCGCATCGACGGTCGACAGTCAAACCATCTTCGCTTTGCTGACGACATCGTTCTCATAACACCAAACATCAGTCAAGCGGAACGAATGTTGACCGATTCCGATAACGCCTGTGGAAAGACTGGTCTTCAACTAAATCTAACGAAAACAATGTTCATGAGGAACGGATGGGTTTTGAATGCCCCATTCATGCTCAACGGAACGACAATCTCCGAATGCTCCAGTTACGTCTATCTAGGTCGTGAAATCAACATGATGAACGACCTAGCTCTAGAGTTGAGCAGTAGGAAACGAGCGGCTTGGGAAACGTTCAAGAGTATCGAAGATGTAGTGAAGAGGACTAAGAACATCCGACTCCGTGCCCACCTTTTCGACTCGAGAATTATCCCTGCTCTAACGTATGCAGCATCATCTTGGTCGCTACGTAAGCAGGATGAAAGATCACTAAGCATTATCGAACGCGCAGTCGAAAGGTCGATACTAGGAGTATGCCGTATCTCGCAAATGAAACAAAGGATTCGAAGTTGGGACTTACGTCAACGATTGAAAATCAGAGACGCCGTTCTACACGCCAGGATATCGAAAATAAGGTGGGCCGGACACGTGATGCGCTTCATTGACAACCGATGGACGAGAGCCGTTACCGACTGGATTCTTCGGAACGTCAAGCGTTCTAAAGAAAGACCACTGACCCGTTGATCCGATTTCTTCACGAAAGCGGTAGAAGAAAAATATGATGCTCAGTGAATCCCTAGGACGAGGAAGACCCACTGGGGTACTCTTGCACGCATAAGGAAAAATGGAAAAGTTGCTGGTACCTGCTCGAGTCACTCGACGATTAACGGAACGACAGGTGATACAGGTGATGCCGTAATATGAGATGTAGAAGTAGTACAACTATTGGGAAGTGAAATGCCAGCACGAACACAATGCTCTTTCTCATTAAACACTCTTTATCTATGTCGTTTTTCGATTCCTTCACAATTGTGTCTTTCACCGAGGCTTTCGGATTTTGCTTGATGGTGATCCGATTCCCACCCCCTTTCCATGGGCTCACCAAACCTCTCGTCCCTCCATGGTCGAGAAACTTCTATAGGTTTGTCTAAAACGTCACTGAATAAAACTCGAGTGAGAACGCTTAAGCCCGACTTTCTCAGGATTCCAGAGGAAATCAGCTTGACGATCATCGAAAAGCATCCATGACGAGCGAAAAATCTTTGAGCATCAGCTTAAATCATATGCAAAATTGAAAGATCTTTGCGCATGATCAAAAAATAAGACAAATGGAATCCAACAAGTGGGGTCAGCGCAAGAATTGAGAAAGATGGGTCGTTTAAAAAAATGTGAAGTACAGGTGGAGCACAGTAATTATGGTAGTGATGCCGTTCGTCGCGAGAATGTTGTTGATTTGACATCGCTTCGAACTCATCAGATCTCCCATTCATATGCGATCGAAAGTTCAATGGCAGATGGTGGCCAACATTGTCAAATAGAAGATGAACCCACATGCGAAAAATTCGAACAACTTGCGCACGGGCGGATGAGCGAAGATAAATCGAATGGTGCAATCAGAGGAGTAGATGTAA